AATTTCGCCTCGTATCGGGATTTCGCTTCAACGAAGCTTGCTTTACTGTATCGTTCCCACAGACGGCGCCAATTGTTGATGCATGGATTTTGACCCTCCGGATCTTCTTCTCGCACACACCTAACTCGATGATAAGGGAACCGATACTTGCAAAATCAAACCGATCTAAATTGGTGTGACCTTAGTCACACGGGCTCCGATGCTTAAGTTAGCGAGGGAGAGTTGAGAAAATAGTTAGCTAGGGATGAGTCCCTTACCCTTCAGGGGTGGATCTCACTGCTACTTATAGCCGTGAAGATGATTCCATAACCTTCGTAGCCAAACCCTAATTCGGCTTTGCAGGGCCCGAGGGATCGTAGATCGTAGGCGGAAGATTCATGGGCTGGGCCGTGGGCCGAGCAGGGGTCGGGACCGAGAAGTGGTCGGGACCGAGAAGTGGTCGGGACCGAGCAGAGGTCGGGACCAGTTGCTTTCCTCGTTCTCTGCCCCGGTGTTAGGTCGTTCTTTGGGCTGGCCCATTACGTCACGGGTCGGTCTCCCCCAATCAATGATCTCAGACTTCAACTTCTTGTCCCGTTTCGGGTCGTTTTTGTTCTCCATAACAATAGAATTTATATTATAAAAATGATTAATTTTTGTAGTAGTTTTTCAGTCTCTTTGAAAAAACTACACATACACGAGGCTCGATATCTTGAAACATTCAATAAGTAAATTTATTTATTTATTTATTATTATTACTATTATTATTTTAGTACAATGTGTGGAGGTGAGGGATCGAACTCACAATTCTTCTTGGTGGGAGATATGTTTGCTTTGACAAGTAAATTTATTTATTGAGACGAGAATTCATATCTTTAAAGTATAATTAATATTACATTAATAAATTTAATATAAAATATTACATTAATAAATTTAATATAAAATATTACATTAATAAATTTAATATAAAATTTACTTATATATATATTTTTGAAACAAACATTTAATCATATTAAAAGCTTGGGTTAAAAGATAATGTAAATTTATCGTCAAACTTAATGTATTGTTAGTTAATTAGCGAGTGTTTAGATGCACGTGTTTTGTTCATATTCCTACGCAATTAAGAGAAAAATTGTCCCCAAGGCCACCGCTTGTTTCTTTCTTCGGTTGGGATGATGAGAGTGGATGGGTCTTTTGCCACTGGGTTTGCAATTTTCATGGGCCAAGCCCTTACCCTGTGTTCTCTCCAGGTCGAGTCGAGACTGGCGCAAGTCTGTTTTGTCCACTTCCTCCATCCCCCTCTATCAAGCCCCCCCATCTTCCGCATATCTTGCTCATCCGACATGGCATGAATCACTAAGGAGAGCATAGCATAAAAAAAAATCTACTCTTTCTTTTCAAATTTCAAATGTCGACACCCTCATTTGTTGTACTTAAAAAAACTCATTAATTTGTTAAGTTTAACAAATCCCATTCCGACCTCGATACATGGAATCGTCTTGCGGGAGTACAAAATCCCGACAATTTTTTGCATGTATTTCATTTTTATTAACAAACATTCAAATATTTTATTTCGTTAAAAGATGGATATAAAATGATTAAGTTTACTTTAATTTATCATTTTAAACTGTTTAGTTTATTGATGATTTAATCTTGGAACACAACTGAATGATTTAATCATGTTTAGATGATATTGGAGCATAAATGAGGAGTGTTAAAAAGGTATTTATAAAATTATTAAATTAACTCTAATTCATCTAACATGTTTAAAATATTTTAACTTTTAAACGTTGGACTTTCAAATATTTTATCTTTTAAGTAAATACAAATTTAGAATTTACATTTTTTTTATCTGCAATTTGTATATAAAGTGATTTTAGCGTTTGTCTTTAATTTTTTCTTAATCACGTATGATTGAAATTCTTGAGGTATTTTTTTGAAATTTTCTAATTCATCACATCTTAGTCAGGAATATATTCCATTTTTTTACATTAATAAAAATCAATATTTTATTGCATGAGGATCTAACTTGAGACATGGGATAAGGCTTTTAGATAGGTATCACTCTTGAGCTAATACCTATGATTTCAACTATGCATCCACATAAACACGATGGCAAAACATATTTTTGTTAAAGTGATCACTCTCGAGCTAA